TGTCCACCTAAGACAAACAGTTTTCTTCTCGACATAAATTTTTAAAATTTACATTTTGACCTTAATGTCGATTTCTGGCCAATGCCTTCATTTATGGATTGCGAGAGCTGCCATTGCTGCTCAAGATTCTGTGTAAGCCTCACACAGGGTTTCAATTACATTTGAGGTTTTAATTCTTGAAGGAAAAATTTCTGCTGAGTCATGAATTAGTACCTCGACCAATTTTATGTGCTTCTCTTCCTCAGTACCCAGCCTTATACTGTGACAAAAGTCCCGTAGGTTGGTTGAGGTTCTAATTCATGACTCAGCAGAAATTTTTCCTTCAAGAATTAAAACCTCAAATGTAATTGAAACCCTGTGTGAGGCTTACACAGAATCTTGAGCAGCAATGGCAGCTCTCGCAATCCATAAATGAAGGCATTGGCCAGAAATCGACATTAAGGTCAAAATGTAAATTTTAAAAATTTATGTCGAGAAGAAAACTGTTTGTCTTAGGTGGACATTTTGAACAGTGTCATTATAGTATAGAAAAAAAAAACACATGGAGGAAAGTGTGAGGTGGTCCCTTGTTGGAGTGATTGTCCTGAATGGGGGGCCATTAAATGAGATTCGACTGTATAATGATCCAGAATTAATGTTTCAGAATGTGTGAGTCAAAGAAATAGTCTAAACAAGAAGGTTTAGAGGTTGAAGCCGTGGGTGGTTGGCGGGTGCTCTGGTGTGGTTTGCTTCTCCTTTCCTATCAAACATCTATCTTCTTTATCTCCCCTCCTTCTTTTTTTGTTTGTTACTCTCTTGTAACACCTCTAATCTTAGGCACTTATCATGACTTTATTGTGTTGCACGTGCTGTAAAACTCTTACTAATACAAAGGTTAACAAAGCCAGGTTGAAGATCTCTTTGAAAGTTTTTGTTTCCATAAAAATCAGTTCTTGGCTTCTCCCTTTGTCACTGAAAAGTTCTCGAAGTCTCTGTGATAGATTCACTGAGTTTTAAAAATTATTTTTAGTAACGCGACTTTTTCTCCCCAGACTGGAGGTTTACCCACAGTTCCTGATCTTCCTACTACTCGGCGGTCTTCAGATGCCCGTAAGTTTAGGTTATTATGTCGCGACCTCAGTGCTTTCTTGTCGTATCTCCATTTTTTTAAACTTTGAAAATGTGACTTCTTCTTAAGCTCTCTCTGTGTTATGAACTGTTTTCACTGTTATTAAAAATGGAGATACGACAAGATATACTTTCAAGCGTAATGTTGCTATAGAAAAAAAAGTGACAGGCTTGCTTTTAAAAGCCATATTGCCCGAGTTGTAAACTTTTAAAAATCTGCAGCAACCATCGACTGAGATTCTTTTTATTAGTATTTATTAAGGAATTTTCTAGAATACAGTGTGCAGGAATTTGAAAAATTATTCCCCTGTTAAGACTAATTGATAAAAGTCATCGCGCAGAAATTGGAGAATCTGTGTTCGATAGTTTAGGAGATATTTGATAATAAGTTTTGCTATGCATTTATGACCGTTCTGTACTCACTCCACTAGTTGAACAGCTGTGTACTGCTGAATAAATTTATATAGAAATTGATAGCAATGGGGTTTTTTTTGTTTGTTTTTTTTTTTTGGGGTGGGGGCGGAGGGGGGAGAGGATCAAGTGAACTGTGAAATCCTCCGGTATATGTCATGTTTTTAAGCCCTCATGATACTCCACCTTTTATCAGTAAGGTAGGATTGCAACCCCGCTCCATCACATGCTTTCAATGTTTCATGTAACTAAGCTGATTTTGTTTTGCCATATAGGTGTTTCCTATTAGCATATTTGTCTGTGACAGCTGCCATTACTTTTACACGTAGGTGGTTGGCGGGTGCTTTGGTGTGGTTTGCTTCTTCTTTCCTATCAAACTTCTGTCGTCCTTATCTCTCCTTTTTTGTGTTTGTTACTCACTTGTAACACTTCTTGTCCTTGGCCCTTATATATGATTTTATTGTGTTGCAAGTGCCGTGAAACACTTACTAAAACTGCTTGTCCACTACCAGGGACCTGTAGTGAGCTGTAAGCTTAGCAACACTGGTAGGGTATTTTAATAATAATAATAATAGATAGCATTTGTAAATGTGTATGGGGCAAATCCCCGCTCAACAGCAAGCACTATGCGCTTCACAATCTATACTATTACCCCAGCAGACCTGAGAGTATTCTGAAACAGCCTCAACTTCCTGGGAAGCATAATTATGGTGCAAGCGCCATTTATAGGTGCTAAATCACTAACATACTGACAACATCTTTCGCCGTCTTTGGCCAGGTACCCTTGCCCACCTGGCTAAAGTGGGGAAAATTCATGTGCCGTGTGCCTTTCCCAAGGACTCAACGTCGGGCCCGCGGCTCGAACCCCTTAATCCCCACCTCACGATTACGAGTCCGGTAGCCTAATCACAAGGATATTGCCGCCAAAATGTTGGGTTCGGCTGTCCTGAATAGTTTGAAGGCTAAATAATATATTATGACTAATTGCCAGCAGCGAATTGATGATTTAGGGTTGGGATTTTACCAGTTAATGGCATTATGGCAACAGAGATGTCTTAAAATGGTGTGCCAACCCTTGACTTGTAAACCTATTTGCATTCTTGTTTTTTTTAGTCTGATGGCCTTTCAGACAGAATGAACCTGTGTCTGTGGTGTAGTGGTTAGGTGCTTCGCTGTTGTACACCCGAGTTTGATTCTAGAGTGGGGAGATATTTTTATTGAGCACTTCGTCTTTCTGCTGGGAAGGGGCAGGGTCGGAAGTCAGCCTCCTGAATAATCTAAACTGTGTACAAATAACCACTTCCTTGTTTAACACTTCACCAGTTACATATATTTCTTGCCTTGTTCCTTTGCCCTTGGGTGTTTTTCTCCCGTACACTCTAATCTATAGAAATACGTGTATTGACATAGGTCTCAAACCTAATGCCCTCCCCCCCCTCCCAGGGCGGTGTTACTGACTGAAGTTGTCTTTAGGCCATTCCCAAAGGGGGGGGGGGGGGGGGTAAACGTTCTTCTGCACCGTAGAGTTGTAAATGGGCTGATTTATCCATGTCATGCTCATACTGTGCCGGAACAGCATAATAAGGGGAACTGCTGGGGTTTTTTTTTTCTTTCCTCATCCTTACTATCGTCATTTTCTCTCTACTTCTTTTGCATGTTTATCACTCTCTTGTGAACTGCTATTTCCGAGGTGCCTTGATAATCGAAGCAGACTTTGTACTGTTGAGGCTAGAGAGGTGAGCAGAGTAATCCTGATTCCCCGTTTGGATTTCTCTGTTG